TGTATTTAATATAATTATATAAGTAGAGAAGCATCATTTTAAGTGGAGCTTACATATATAAATAATAGAATATATACACATATGAAATAATATTATAATATACTAAATGTGCCGTTGGCATTAATAGTAGATTAATTACAATTTAACTTCATATAGTCTCTTTTTAAACATATAATTCATTTTCCATATCAGAGTACTCAGAATTTGACATTAATCAAATTAAGTTTAATCACTTAAAATTGAAGCTCAGTCACATATATAATTTTGTTAAAACTACATTATATTATATTATATTTACCATTATATTAATGCAATCTTTAACATATTATATTTTATAATTATAATAAAATTACGTTTACATATGAGAGCTTCGATTTTAAGAAATTAAACTTAGCTTTAATAATGTAATTTAAGTAATTAATCTTAACTTTATTAATGTAAAATTCTAAGTAGTCCAATATAAAATATATGAACTTTACACTTAAATGGATATTAAATCTAGTTAATGATAATTAATCTACTATTATATTAATGCAAACCTTTATATATTATAATATTATTTTATATATGTATATAATATATATATTGAACTTCAATTTTAAGTAAATAAACTTAAATTTGGTTTAATATAAATTTTAAGTTCTCTAATCTAAACAATGAAATTTATATTTAAAAATAGACAAAATAAAGTAGTGTTATATTAAATTTTTGGAGTTATAATATAATTTGTAATTAGCACATGTTTGAGCCACGTTAAAATTTTCATTCTCATTCTTCTACTCATTTTCAACCACACATATTTAAATAAAATAATATTTTTCATCACATCAATAACTTTTCATTTTTTTTCAACTACACATTCTCGATCAATCTATTATTTCAAAATACATTATTCGAAAATAATGTGGCTCAATCACACCCTTAGTAATGATTATTGTACATTTATAATTAAAGGCGTTTGTTGTCAAAAGCAAAATATATAAGGGCAAAAATAAAAATTGAAAGTTTTACATACCCAAGTTTCAATTATTGATATTGTTTTCATACTATGTACATAATATTAACATTTGAAGCATTTCTATTCTATATAATAGGCATAAATTTCAGAATCTGTTACAAATGAAGGTAAATAATATAACCAATAATGTTCTTAATCAGTTTATGTTGACGATTTAGAATTTCAACCGTGGTTATTCAAATAATTAATTAGTTATTATTCAACCGTGATAAACAAAAACTATATCATTAACTATTTCTTTTAAGGGTAATGAATGTGATTTATTTTTAATTTTTTGTGTGTGATTCTTAGGTTTCTTTGAAAATTGTATACCTCAATTTTCCCTTATGGTTATATGATTTTCTTTTTCTCAATACAAGAATTTTCAGTTTTTTCTTATTTCAATGAAGGTAAATATGTAAGAACTACTTGATTTGTCTAATGTACACATCACCCAGCCTATTTTCATTGATCAATAAAACCAACATATACCTATGTTGAGTAATAGTATCTTGAAGAATAACGTGAAAACTCAATTACATAAATATTTGGTTACGTATTCTTTATTTTTCCGGTTCATTCAGATATTGACGGCCATGTATTGCACTTTACTTCCTTCCGTATAAAAAGTTGCAGTGTGGCATATGGTAAAGCAAATGTTGCCATTTACGGGAAAAAAAAATGGAAAATCAATGCACTTTCAGTAGACAACAATGCAAATTCCAGAGTCAAAAATTCTCTTAAGTTCCAGCTATCAAGAAATAATACAAAAATTTAAATGCATATTACCCAAAACCAGGCCATGAATAAGTGGTCCAAAAGCCTAATTGGAAACAAAATAGAGTAGTGTCTGCAGAAATAAAACCAATTATCTAATAAAATGATAGAAACAACAGAACGCCACTAGCTTAATCGACCTCCTCGATCTTGGGACCAGCTCCGCCACCACCACTAGGAGCAGGACCATCATCGTCCATGGCACCACCCATATCGCCACCTGCACCCTGGTACATCTTAGCAATGATGGGATTGCAGATGCTCTCCAGTTCCTTCATCTTGTCCTCAAACTCGTCCGACTCTGCAAGCTGGTTGCTTTCAAGCCATTGGATGGCCTGCTCAATAGCATCCTCAATCTTCTTTTTGTCATCCGCAGAAAGCTTGGAGGCAATCTTCTCATCCTTAACAGTGTTCCTCATGTTGTATGCATAGTTCTCCAAGGCATTCTTTGCCTCTGCTTTCTTCTTGTGTTCCTCGTCCTCGGACTTGTACTTCTCAGCTTCCTGAACCATCTTCTCAATCTCCTCCTTGGAAAGTCTACCCTTATCATTGGTAATAGTGATCTTATTCTTCTGTCCTGTGGTCTTATCCTCGGCAGAAACATTCAAGATACCATTGGCATCGATGTCAAAGCACACAGTAATCTGAGGAACTCCCCTAGGAGCAGGAGGAATGCCAGAAAGCTCAAATTTACCTAGAAGGTTGTTGTCCCTGGTCCTTGTTCTCTCTCCTTCATAGACCTGAATCAGGACACCGGGCTGGTTGTCCGAGTAGGTAGAGAAAACCTGCTCCTTCTTGGTTGGAATGGTGGTGTTCCTGGGAATCAACACAGTCATAACACCACCGGCAGTTTCTAGACCAAGGGAGAGAGGAGTGACATCCAAAAGCAAAAGGTCCTGCACCTTCTCATTACCCTCACCACTCAAAATGGCAGCCTGGACAGCAGCACCATAAGCAACAGCCTCATCAGGGTTGATACTCTTGCATAGTTCCTTCCCATTGAAGAAGTCCTGCAACAATTGCTGAACCTTGGGAATCCTGGTCGATCCACCAACAAGTACAACATCATGGACGTTGCTCTTGTCCATCTTGGCATCCCGCAAACACTTCTCTACTGGTTCCATGCACTTCCGGAACAAGTCCATGTTAAGTTCCTCAAATCTGGCACGAGTGATGGTGGAATAGAAATCAATACCCTCGTAGAGTGAGTCTATCTCAATGGTGGTCTGGGCAGTGGACGAGAGAGTTCTCTTTGCTCTCTCACAAGCAGTCCTCAACCTCCTAAGAGCTCTGGGGTTGCCAGTGATGTCTTTCTTGTTTTTTCTCTTGAATTCCTGAACAAAGTGATTCACCATCCTATTGTCAAAATCTTCTCCTCCAAGGTGAGTGTCACCAGCGGTGGCCTTCACCTCAAAGATACCCTCCTCAATGGTTAGAAGAGAGACATCAAAAGTACCACCACCAAGATCAAAAATCAACACATTCTTTTCACCAACGCTTGTTGCCTTCTTGTCAAGACCATAAGCAATAGCAGCAGCTGTCGGCTCATTGATGATACGCATCACATTGAGACCAGCAATTACACCAGAATCCTTGGTTGCTTGACGTTGGGAGTCATTGAAGTAGGCTGGGACAGTAACAACAGCATTCTTAATGGTAGTACCCAGGTATGCCTCAGCAATTTCTCTCATTTTAATTAGAACCATGGAAGAGATCTCCTCAGCGGCAAATTGCTTATCTTCACCCTTGTAGTTAACTACAATCATGGGTTTGTCTCCAGGCCCAGCGATGAGCTTGAAGGGCCACAATTTCATGTCACTCTGTACAGAGGCATCACTGAATCTCCTACCGATCAACCTCTTAGCATCTGTCAAAATTAAAAAAGGAATGAATCATTAATTAAACATTACACAGGCAAATCTCAAAGTAATGTGCATAGCAACAATATTTTGATAGTAACAGGATCACAATTATAATATACTGTTAACAGAAACACTTTATAAGTCAGCACGTAAAGAAAACATACTGATTTATTGTAACCAAAGAACCAAGGAGCATCACTGGAGTTTAGCATAAAGAACATTACTCTCAACGCAGAACTGAAACCTTTGTATAAAACCTTAAGGAAAACAACATAATATAGGCACATCTTTCAAAAAGCTTCAATCAGTTTTATCATAAAGAACATCATACTCTAGCACTGTAGAACTGAAACCTCAGTATAAAATTTTGAGAAAAACAACATAATAGGGTACATTTTTCTATTATCAATTTCCAACAGTAAATCTAACAATGCAGAACTTCATGTATAAGCATTCTCAAAGAAGTGTGCGTATGTGATAATTTGAACAAATGACTGTTAAATCTTTGTAGCTAATCAGTATTAAAATCATATTCCAAGCAACAGAGCTGTAAAAATTATTTTCCATTCGCCAGTAAATTGGTGAAAACAAAAATCAAGTCAACTCAGAATTTATATATTCAGATAAAAAATATATTACCATATAACCAGTACTCAGGGAAATGAAAGAGTATAAGCAACAAGTGACACGTGAAAGATTCATACATTTTTTCATCCATACAAAAATTATATTAGCTGCATGACATAACAGGGAGCAGTGGGGCCTCTATTTTACATGAAGCTATTCATAGGACCGATGAACCCATGTTATTTATTGTCCAACGAACCGTAAAAAATTCTTGCTCAAAACTAGATCTATTGTTTGAAGAGCAGAACGCAGAAAATTATATGCATAATAAGCTCAGAAATCCCTTTTTAACACCAATATAACGGACACTAGTCATCGATACATTAACAAAAAAGCACAATAAACAATTACTTACAGATTTACTATAAAAAAAACATAAAAGATAATAACACTCTCAAAACAGATCTAGCAGAAAAAACATAAATCTTAGCAAAATAAAACGTGCATTGGCTTATTTGCAGTAAAGTAGAACAGATCTTACCGAAAACAGTGTTTATCGGGTTCATGGCAACCTGGTTCTTAGCAGCATCGCCTATCAGTCTCTCGGTGTCGGTGAAACCCACATAAGACGGCGTCGTTCTGTTTCCTTGGTCATTTGCGATGATTTCCACACGGTCATGCTGCCACACCCCAACACACGAATATGTTGTGCCGAGATCAATTCCAATAGCTGGTCCCTCTCCTTTTCCTGCCATTGCTGCTCGAATTTGAGTCGGCAAGATATTTAGCGTAGAGAAGAGAGATGGTGTTGTTGAGAACTAGGGTTTCAAAGGATATACAATAGCCTTGAATCAGAAGTATATATAGCAGCTGCCAGATTTAATTTTCGTGTTCTAGAATGTTCGAAAACCCAATATGGAAGGCAACCGTTGGATTGGTTGCGGAAAATATTTGATGGTGTGAGATTCTTTCCGTTATTTCCGCAAACGGACTCAGTCCTTTTCCACGCCTGTCGCCAAAAAAGAAAATTCCACGTCGATTATCATAATATATATTTGCGCTAACAATAAAAAATAAATTTTGATGAAACATATCGTCGAAAAATTGATAAAAGTTATGAATCTCATGACATATGTACTGAAATATTAACTTTGACTTCGATTTTTATCAAATTGTTTTAGCTTTACCTTGTCTGGTGCAGTTTTTTTGATCGTTACCAATGGCTAGCGGGTCCCACCGAGCTCGTTTGGTAAAGATTAAAATCCAGTTAAAATTAAAAATATAGCAGTTATTGGGTCTCACTTGTCTAATAAAAGTCAAGAATAACGACTAATTTTTCAATTTTAATCCGATTTTAATCTCTATAGAACACGCCCGTAGTCAAAAACTGTTGGCCACTTTTGAAAATAACGGGTAGAAAAGCTATTTTTGGTGGACAAAAATATGCACCAGACACACGCTAGAGTGAAATTATGATTTATCCAGGATTTTATTTAAATAAAGTAATTAATTGCTTATAAGTTAGGTCTCGGTTTCATAATGTACTTTTGCAATAACACGACTACACCAACCCCGCAAAGGAGGAAAATTGATTGTCCCGTTCAATGCTATCATGAAATTTAGCAAAAAAAAACTGTAAATGTCCGTCCAACAATTTTCGTTTAATTCATCACATCACATGTACTGAAATTGTGATTCCGAATGTGTTTTGGATATATTGGCATTACCAACTATTGTTGATAAATAACTTAGGCAGACAATGACAAATGATTGAGGCTTCACAACTTCAAAGAGAAAAGAAAATGCTGTTGCTGGCTGGTACTGAAGTGATGATCCACATTGCAGAATGCTTTCTCAAGACATATTGGTATGCAATACTCGACGAACTAGAGGTGTCAAGACGGACGGGCCGACCAGACCAGTGAAAATCGGCCCGGATCGACCCGGGATCGCGGACCAACCCGTGACCCGAGCGGACGGTTCACGGGTCAAGGAGGTATGACCCGCGGGCTTCGTGAGTTGCACCTTCACGGGCCGTGGTTAATCCGTTGGCCCGTGAATTTTTTTTTTTTTTTTTAATTTGAAAAAAAGGGGGGAGAGTTAATACTAAATTATAGTTAAGACTTAAGACTTAAGTAGGTG